GAGGGCGCCTCCACTTGACGGGGATCAGAAAGGGTACAAAGCAGTAGTAATTGTAAGTGTTTGTCTATGTCGTAAACAAGTGTGTAAGCGCGTTTGTGTTGTGACTAAAGCGCTCATCGAAATAGCGCACTATCGTGTCCAAAGCGCCGAGTGTTATAGCGCCCCAATAGTGACTTCATGTTACATACGCGATTTCGTATTAGTAAAAGCACCCAACTTTGCGCCCGATTGTGTGTTTTAAGTGTAAGGAGTTAAGGGAAATCAGTAAAAGCACCCCGTTTCGCGCCCTTCAATTGCAAAGCGCCCTCAATATTGCGCCCTAAGTGAGAACAGTAACGCGCCCAAATTTGCGCCCTCGGAACGCGAAAAGCAAAGATAAAACAAAAATCGCGCCCAACTTTGCGCCCAATGGCTACAAAGCGCCCTCATTTTTGCGCCCTAAAAAATCGCTCAAAGTAAAGTAAAGCCAAGCACCCCAAGATACGTTAGAGTCACCAGCGGAAACGTTATTATAGATATTCATTAAAAAAATATAAGAAAATAAAGAAAATACAACAAAATCCCGCTTATTGGACGCCCATTCTTTACTCAGCTCCTGAGTTGGCATCTTCGGCACTGGGCGCCTTCGGGAAAGGCGAAGGAGGAGCGGAATTGCTGGGAGGCTCGGGCGCCCTTCCCGCTTCGTGGGAGTCTCCAACTCCCCGATCACATACTCGGCCATCTCAGTCAGGTCCGAATAAGGTCAGGGTGATCCTTCTCCAGCTTCATCTTCAAAATTTTGAGGCCGGTCAAGCAGGCATTGGCGCACATACTTTTGCCAGCCTCGGATTCCTCGAAGGTGTCTAGAGAATGGCGCAAGGCGGAAATTTCTTTCCGCGCCTCTTTCAAGGATTTCTTACTCTCCTTGCAGGCGTCTTGCAACCTCTTCTTCTCCTCCTTGAGGATATCGATCTCGCTCGCTTGGGCGCCTGCCTCTTGCGCCAGCGCCTCTTTCTCTGCTTGAAGTGTCGCCGCCTTGTTGCACTCGTCCTCAAGAGCACCCTGAAGTCGCGACACCTCCATGGCCGCGTTTATCTGAGCTTCCTTGCACTCTTTCACCAACTGCTCGCGGCGCTCGGCCGCGGTTTCCAGGTCATGATTCATGGAGGAGGCAGAGGTAGAGGCTTCGAGCGCCTCTCGCTTGGATTCAGAGAGGCGTCAGGCGCCTCTCTCAGCAAAGAGGAGGATCTGCATACGCCAAGTCAGGAGGATTAGCATTTGTGTAATGCAATGTCACAAGTAAGAGTATATACCTTGGCACCCACTTGGGCCAATTCAGTGAAGAGGTGATCGCCATTCACCTCCGACGGCACTTGCCACATCTTGGCGGCGGTGATTGCCAGCCCCATTGCGCAGCCTCGATCGACTGCCGACACTGGGGAGCAGGGCAATTCGATGCGCCCCACATCTGAGCGGCGCGGTTGGAAGATAGGAGGGCGCCCATCGGGGCCCACATAGAGCCCCTCTTCATTGAGGTGGTATTGGGCGCCCTCCTCACCGGCCGACACGGCGGCGCCTGCTTTGCCCTTCCCTCTATCAGCCTTTTTGCTGACATGGGCCAAGGGGGAACCAGCCCTCTTCCCCCGACGAATCAGGGCTCGGCCTCCTCTTCCCCGGAGTTACCTTCTTGCTCCGCCGGCTCAGAATCTGGCGCCCCTTCTTCAGCCTCCGGGGTGGAAGACGCCACGCTGGCAGTCTTCGTATGAAGTGTGCCCCCCTTCACTGCCCTCTTATTTTTCTTTGGGCCAGGAGGAGGCGCCTGTGATTGAGGGGCGGCCGAAACGGGCGCCTGTGGCAGAACTGAAGGGTGCGCTCCCCCAGTCATTGGCGCCACCCGACTTTTCATCAGCTTGGCGATGCTGTTGAAGTCCGACCCTGCACATTGTCAAATGATTAGCACAAGTCAAATGATTAGCACAAGTCACAACATGGCTACACATATAAAATCTCTGCGCGCAAATCAAGCGGGCGCCCTCTGTCTCCGATCGAGACAACACGACCGGCGCGTTAAATTCTTCGATGTGCGCCAACTCCCACTGCCGCAGAAAGGCGCCTCCACTCTCAAAGAAGGAGTCCTGGTACGCCTTCATGAAGAAGAAGCCATTGAACCAGCTGCGCCCAAACTTCGGACACCGATCCACGAAGTGATATGGGCGCTTCTTCCTCTTCTGAAGTGACAAAAAGTTGTCAAGGGGCGCCATCTTAAAGAAGTACCTGAACAAGTTGAAGGTGGGGTCCACGTTGTGTTCCCGACACCTCAACTTGAACAGGATCACAATCATAATGACCGAGGGAGATAGGCGCCCCAGCGGGCAACCGCAAGTCGTCAGGATCCCTTCCATAATGTGGTTAAGAGGAAACCGCAGCCCGAAGCGGAAGTACTCCTGATACACCCCGATCCACTTAGGCCCACAGACGCCCACTCGCGAAATAGCAAAAGGAGGCGCATACCACTAGTCGCGCGGTAGTTGGAGGCTAGTCACCAATTCATGGACGCGATCCAGGGTAACAGTCGACGTATGCTTCGGTCCTGCCACGTCGAAGGGCAACTTGGACGTCTCCTTTGGAAGATGATTAGGCTGTGAAGAGTTCTCCCACGTCGTAATCTTGTAAGACCCATCCGCAGGCATAAAACCGGGAGTCAAGACGCTTGATGGACCAGCAGACGTAGAAGCAGGCGCCTTCTCTAAACCAAAAAACGACCCAGGCGCAACGTTGACGCACATTAAGTGACGCCCTACCCTAGGTAGCTAGAATAAATTTAACAAAAATAACCAACAAGTCGAGAAGATTCCTTACCACTCTGAGTCGGACGCCTTGCATCACCACCTGCGCCCGAGGCGCCCGCTTCAGTCGCACCTGCGCCAGAGGCGCCCGGGCTGGAAGCTTTGTCTTGTTGCGACGACATTCTTAGCTGACTCGAAGGAAGTGGTGACGATTGCAAAGCAGAATCTAGAGAGAAGTCAGAGCGAAATCTTAGAGAGAAGTCAGTTTCTAGAAAGTGACAAGAACTGAGGGGGGCAGGGATATTTAAAGGAGAAGAGAACCCAAGTCAAGGCTCGCGTCGCGCGCCACGTGTCAATGTCACGGGCGGGCTGTTGAGCTCCCCCCAATTTTCCCTTTTTGGAGTTTTCCAAATTTAAATTTCGAATTTTCTAATTATGAAATCCAAAATTTAAAATTTTTCCAAATTCAAGCAAGGAAAATGTGGGGCCAATATCAAACCCCGCCCGTGAGGGGGGCATAAGGGCTAGGGGTGCCCCTCACAGATAGCTCCACCGAAAGGCGCCCACAAATCACGAGGGGAAAGTACACAAAACAGAGGACGCCTACCAGCGAAAGTAAAACCAAGTAAGTCAGTCCCAAAGTGAACAGTGCGACAAAGGATGGTCGATAAAAAACTCGAGCGCCGTAAAGACTAGCGTACCCTGGAAATCGGGCGCCCATAGACAAGGAGAAGGGCGAGTCCACAGCAGAAGAATCAGTTAGGCGCTCGAAAGTGAAGCCATGAGCACCTAACTGGGGGGGGGGGGGGGGTAATTGTTGGGGGTACTACAATTGAGGCCCAACGATTAGTGGTCTGGGCCTCCAAGCAACAGCATTGGGGGGCAAAGCCCTAGAATGGATTTGTGAAACCCTTCTAGGCCCAAGCAAGGTGAGGGGCGCATGAGAACAAAACACTAAAAGCCAAGGGAGGCCAGACTGTCAAGTGGTCCATCGCCTGCGGGCGCCTGCCACGCGGGGGAAGCCTGACAAGGTGGTTGAGATATCTGACAAAGAGGGTATAGGGCAAAAGCCAAGGGAGGTCAGACTGTCAAGTGGTCCACCGCCTGTGGGCGCCTGTCACGCGGCAGAAGCCTGACAAGGTGGTTGAGATATCTGACAAAGAGGGTACATGACATTAATTGAGACAATGACGTGGAAGAGATCAACCTCGAACTCGGTGAGTATAAATAGGGGCAGTTGGTAGCATTTACACAGGTTGGATTTTCTCACTAGAACTCTTACTCTGGGATACTTCCCTCTCTAAGAAACTAACTTGAGCGTCGGAGGATTAACGGGCCCCGGCGCCTCCTCCGTTTTCGTGTGCGTAGGCAAGCGCCAGTCAAAAGGAATTCACGGGGGTTCCAGCGAGGCGTTGTGGCTCAAACAAAAATAATTACCAAAATTTGGGTTGCGCTACCTCCGACCAACGAACCGCACCATAAGCTAGTATATATAGCATATATAATACTTAGTTCGGTGTCTAATGTGGTACTTGATTACTAAATATAACCTTTAATCTTAAACTCACCGAAACATAGATGATAATAATATAATTGCATATGGGAAGTTGAAGATTGGGAAGTTGAAGATCGAAAGGAGCAGCAGGTATTACATATAACATATTTAGTGTGAATACTGACTCAAGATAGAGTGAATAATCTTAGGGTCGAGTAACCAATTTTGAACCCTTCTTTTTAAGTGGCTGCAGATCTAAGGGTGAAGAATTAAATGAATTTATTTTCACTAGTTATCTTGATTGAATCATATTTTCTTCATTCTAACTCGGATTTCAAATTTTTTTTTTTGCACAGATGGAACGAGTTCGTTGTGCTCTACAAAATAATATCCATTTCCAATATTTTTTCAGAAAAAATATTTCATACCTCCCGTTACCAACTCCATACCATATGGTATCTCATTCGTTTTTTAGTCATTTTTCGGAAATTTTTGCACAGAAGAAACGATTTAATCATTGATCTATTGGATTTCAAAAATTTTCTGAGTGAAAAAAATTTCATACCTCTCATTACCAACTCCATACCATATTATACCACCCTGGTTAAAGATTAAAGGAAGAAAAATTAAATGTTTTTCGAGGAGAGAGAAGGAGACGCTGATGTAGCGAGGGATTCTTATTGAGTTATGCATGAGATTATTGCATCATAAGGTTACTGACTGGATATGCTCCTGTGAATAGTGAATAATATTATATATTAATCAGGAAATCGAAAGTTACGTATATATAGCAGCAAGAATAATAATAGTAGTAATAATGTATAGTAGTAAGCAACACATCGAAAGTTAACTGAGCTCCTTGAACGTGATGGAACAGTCGCGGAGTTCGACCGTAGCGCCGACAGGGTGGTGGCAACATGAGTTGATTTTGCCCTTAGCACTGACGAGACACGACCAGCAGTCCACCTTTCGGTAGCAAGTGGCGACACCGGTAACCGAGCCAGCGCAGTCGCGATTCGGGTAGCTGTGATACATGACGTAGTCGTCGGCGTTGGGTTTCCTGAACATGTTCTTGGTTTCGTCCACGAAGAAGTCCATGAGATGTCCGACGTTGCTGTCGTATCTTTTGTCCCCAACGCACTCGGGCCTGCTGACCGCGGTCGTGTTGGGAAGTTTGGCTTCGACGATGAGGATCATCATGATGGTACCGAGAACCAGAATCGCTGCGCCTACCGCCAGCCATCAGTACTCCCCTACAATGATACATTTTCCCTGCTCTTTTATGCGGTGAAGAAAAGGGTGCTCTGATCACCGATGACCCTAGCTAGTTTACTCTTGTCTGTCTGCGTCGGGATATTAGGGTGAGAAATAGTTGTAACTTGCTGGGGCTTTTTATAACCTGAGCAGCAGAAGGGAACGTAACCAATGAAATGGGAATATGAAAAATGCATGCATGCCGGCTCTGAGATGCCTCCACCTTCATAAACAACGAAAAATGTAGCCCTAGGACGGCAGGGAAGTGTTTCTGCTAGCTATACCGAGACGGAAATAATGCAAGGAAAACAAAAATAGGTGTATTATTATTGGGCTTTCAAGGGATATACTGATGTCCCAAGGAGACAATTACCGTCTTTCAACTCCCTACACGTACGACAAGCAAACGCATTGGGGGATTTCGTTTCGTGTCGTCAGGGGATTAGGATGAAGTTGTGGACGGCGGGCTCATACGATACGAGAGAGACACCCGGCATCATCTTGTTTGTCGCAACTAATTGGTAAGTAACGATAGAACGTACAGATTGCTGGCCGTGTATTGCGGAAAGTTGTGCACAGCAATATACATATTTTTTCCTCTACCCAAAGGTCGTATTGACACAAAGAAACATCCACGTTACTTATACAACTAAAGATAGAGTAGCTAGTGATGAAGTTTTATAAAATTGAGATGTTTCACAGAAAGTTCGATTGTTACAAACTACGGTTGCATTGCAGAGTACGAATAAAGTTTGATATGTAGTGTTAAATGTTGGGTTTGGGAACCTTTGATTAATCTTCCTTTTGCCTATTTATAACCACAAGATGTAACTGTCTCAGTAACTGCTCCCCTAGTTGCTCTAGTGCTTGATGTAGCTTGCTTGATATCCTAATCCTCTTTCTTACGTGCATACCACTTGGTACTTTGCTTGACAACTTCAACTTGACAGTTAGCCTTCCTATGCCATGAGATATTTTGCTTGACGGCTTGTCTCATACCCTACTGGGTATGCATGTGTCTTGCTTGGTTGGATGTGAGGTGATGACTACTTAGCTGAGCGTTTCATGCCTTGCACCTAGTTAGTATCTCGTGATTGACAAGTGAGGGCTTCACGTTTAGTGGGTGTAGTGGTGACCACATTAAGTACATTGATGCTCGATGCCTTAGTGATACTCTTGCTGACCATCCTTGCATGACATCAATATTCTTGTACGGTCTTGACAAGGTGGTCTACCACGTGATGGTGTGCATGCTTGACACTTATAATCTTTATTACCTGGTCGACTAGGTATCACGCTTGACAATCCATGAGGCCTACCATGCATGCTTGACTACTTGGGGGTGAGGGTGCGTGGTGCCTACCCATTGGCATGATGTCATGCTTGAGACCCTGGTGCTTGGCTGATCTACAAGGAGGATGATGAGGTTCCATATGTAGCCAATTTTCATGCTTTCATTCCTATCTGCTTTGGTTGAGGGTGCATATTGCATACCCCTCGCCCCTCGGACAATGTCATTCTTGACACCCTGGTGCTTAGTAGGTGAGCGACCGACAAACCTGCAGACAACCGTGTACTTTAGTAGTTGATGTCTTATGTGCTTGATACGTGAGAGGCACATCATGGTTGGCATTGTTTGAAAGGTGGTACTGGGAAGAGATACACATGCCGACCCCCCTTGCATGAGGTCATGCTTGACACCCCAGTGTTTGGCAGGTGGGTATGTGGCCTGCTTGATAGGTAAGGGGTGATAGATATTATGTTTGTCAATCCCCCTCACACAATTGCATGCTTAAGGGTGTAGGCCCTGTCACTACGGGGAAAATGACATCTTGCAACTCCCACAAATGTGTTGCACAATGTCTTAAAATAGTTGCGAAATCCTAATGCAACACTTTTGGTAGGGTTGCATATAGTGGGGGTTGCAAAAGGAATAGCTAACTATTTTTTCATCGTTCGCAACCAAAATAAAAAGGGTTGTGTATCTTTACCTTTTATGCAACACCACTTTCAACAACAGATTTCAAAAAATTTGCAACACATTTTAGAAACATAGGCAACATTTTTTTGTAATTTTTTGCAACATTTATATTTTATTCGTGATGAGTCTAACTCATCGCAAATGCCTAACTCAATTGTGACTATTATGCTCGTAACACATACTAATACTTGCATGACAGTGTTATCGTCAATAAAGATCCTTTTTGTGATGAGTTAGTGGCGACACGAAAACCACAACAGTGACATGCCTAATTGTCACAAATAATTGTCATGTGTGACCAAAGTTCTATCACTAATACACTTTTTGGAATTCAAGGTGTGATTATGGGTCGGGTTGGTTGTCACTGAAGTAACTATTTATGACGAATTCTATGGTCATGGATGCAACATTGTGTGACAAATTTATAATAAGAATCACATTAATACACGTCACGAATTATTTCTTTTGTGACAATACACTTGTCACATAAATTAGAGGGGTCGGTTAGCATGCTAACCCCCCTTAGGGGTTGGAAAAATGACACCCCCCTAGTATATTAAATACAACTATAATTAATACACAATAATTAATACATACATTAAATACACATTAGGAATTAAATGTACCATATTAATTAGGAATTCTCTCACTATTAAATACACATTAGGAATTAAATACACACATTAAATACACATTAGGAATTCTCTCACTATATTTGATTTTTCTTTTTCAGCAGTCTCCGACCACCAGACTTCCTCCGACCTCCACACTTCTCTGGTGAAAATCGCATCGGCAGACTCCCTCCGACCACCTCCAAAAAATATACCACTGCACTGATACGGTGTACCACTGTACTGGTAGATATACCACTGCACTGATACGTTGTATCACTGTACTAGTAGATATACCACTGCACCGATACGTTGTACCACTGTACTGGTAGATATACCACTGCACTGGTAGCGATATCAGTGCACTGGTAGCAATGTCATATCTGAGTATCAGTGCAGTGGTACAAATACCAGTAAAGTGGTAATTAATGTGGTGTATTTAATGCTTACTTTGTATTTAATAACAGAACATTTATTATATTTACTTTCATTAATACTGGTCAATAATTAATGAAAAATTGACCAATTAAAAGGGGGTGTCAAAAAACCAACCCCTTAAGGGGTTAGCATGCTAACCCGTCCCTAAATTAGAATCAACAAGGAAAATTGGTAATGAACGTACAATACAAATAAATATATCTAGACAAAATTTACAGCGTTGACGAACAATAATGATCAAATAATTACAACCATCCATATATTATTATAAGAACACTCCTCCATGTGAGTCGACTTCTGAATTTGGTGAAAGAAGAAGACTCCTTGTACCTGAGAAATAAGGATAAATTCTATCACATTGTTATTCCTGATTTCTATATGACTATATATATATATATATATCCAACAAGTGACTTGAAGGCTCGTCTAATTTGATTTTGATTGAGCCTGGTTTCGTAGATATTATCCATAGTCTTTGGAAGGAAAAATTGAAGAAAATACAGAAACTTAAAAACCCATTCAATATGATTTGACTATTTAGATTTTATGGAGCAACTTACCTCAGATTCCGCCATCTCAACCAACATGTCCAACCTCTTCACATATCGTTATTCACCCTTCAATCAATGAATTTTGATTGCTTATTCTCCCAGAATTGAATAATAACACTGAAAATCAAACAATATTAGCAAAAAGAGGCTAACAAGAATAATGAATACAAAATGACGATCGAATGACTCTGTCGCATAGATTGGAGGGTGGGACTGGAGTGAAAGAGTTGCCTGAAGCATAAATCAGAAGATCAATGGGGGATGATGACGATTTCGCTTGCTAGGTGAATTGAATTTTTAGAGAAGAAGATGTATGAGAACTTCTATATATGTCTTCGAATCCAGGGAAAAAGTAAACTAGTGTTTGATATCACACCATGAGAGGCAGAATACAAGCGAGCAGCGGCGCAGAAGTGAAACGATAAAAAATAAAAACCCTAACGAACATGGAAAGTTGGGATATGGCAAGGGGACTTATTGGGGAATATATATTGAATATTTTATGGACTTACCTTCCCCGATATCTCAGTCGAAGGGATTAGGCGGGGTTGTAAAATTCAAAATTTTGTTCCCCATATTTTCTATCATTTGGAGCCTTTTTCTCATATAATACAAATCTATGGGGTTTTTTTACCACTATTAAATCAAACAATTAAACGTGTGGTGCTTCTTAATCTGTTCAAAGGAAATTTTGTTTGGAAAAAGTTTTTTGTCAATCAAACATATTCAACAGATAATTGTTAAATTTTAGAGAAGATTGGAGCAAATTAACTGGATGCAGGAAAAGTGGATGATGATAAACTTCGGAAAGAAACAAAGCATCTGGGTAGAAAAAGTGGAACATCCACCACATGTTGGGTTCGGATATTAAAACCAACAACTTACCGAAAAAAATAAAAGATTTGATTTGGAAAATATTAAACATGACACAATGAATACAAATATGTTGAAAATTTTAACGAAGTTGACGGACAAATGTTTTTTTTAATTGAGTTATCATTAGCCAGAAAACTAATGTGCAACACTGTTAGGCAAAAAGTTGCTTAAAGTATATAAATTTGCAACATAATATCACTCGTGGTGTAAGTGTTGCGTAAGATATGCAAACGCAACTAACATTTGTAGTGTGTTGCGTAAACTACCTAATACGCAACTTCAAAAAAAAGTGTTGCTATTATATATTTAACGCAACACTTTTAAATAGGGTTGCAATCCGAGTGTTGCAGGAAGTCATTTTTCCCGTAGTGTGTCGACCTCCCCCTCACACAATTGCATGCTTGATACCTCAATGCTTAGTAGGCAGGCACCCAACATACTTGATAGCTGCTTGATAGGTGACTACGTGTGATACCCATGGACAAGGAGGACCATGTCGACCCCCTGCACGGTGGCCTACTAGGGTACTTGAGGGGTAGGCGGCAAGCATTGCCGGCTTGTTCAACACCACTCTCCTTGATTGAGGCCATGCTTAACGCCTTGTATGACAATATGGGCAGACCAAAACTCCATCACTTAGGTCTAACTTAGACCAATT